CAATATGCCTGGACCTTTGTCCAATTGCATCGGATCTGGATATTTCAATGGCCGCTTTATTGTCTTCATGCATAATAAATGGTAAGGTGGGTTTCTTCCAAACATCAGTGATCAGATCATTGAACCATACAAGGTTATTTGCAGCCTTGGACAAACAAACATATTCCGCTTCTGTAGTAGAAGTGGCTACTAGTTCTTGTTTACCAGTAACCAGTAAACTGGACAATCATTCAATAGAAAAACATAACCAGAAGTACTCTTTCTGCATGATGTATCACCAGCCCAATCTGCATCAGCATAACAAGTAATTTTTGGTTCTCTGTCATTATTGGGTTCCAACATTAAACAAAAATCTAATGTACCCTTCAGATATCTTAGAATTCTTTGACAGCTTCCCAATGATACAAGGTTGGTTTACTAACATATCTTGACAATAGATTGAGAGGTAATGCAATATCTGGCCTAGTCCAATTAGATATATAAAGGAGTGAACCTATAACTGATCTGTAAAATGTGTTGTCTTTAAACTCAGGGGAAGATTCATCAGTGTTTCTAAGAAAATCAGTTTGCATAGGGGTGTCACAGGTTTAGCATTATTTAAGTTACATTTGTTTAGGAGTTCGATGATTTTATCTTTCTGTGTAAGTTTGAATCCCCTTTTAGTTTTGTTAATTTGCACACCAAGGTATTTATTCACTTTACCCAGAGATTTCAGTGAGAAGTGTTCATTTAACTTATTTACAAAGATTTCCCTGCTCTCTTTATGCTTTCCAATGTATAAAATATCGTCCACGTAAATTAATACAAATTCAATATGATCATTACTCTTTTACAAAGAAACAGTTATCAGCAGTGGTGGCGTTGAAATCCATGGTCTTAAGTACTTTTACCAAGCAATCGTACCATCTTTTGCCGGATTGCTTTAATCCGTACAGACTCTTATTTAATAACCAAATTTCGTTCTTATTAGTGTATTGACTGTGTGGTGCTCTTACATATATTTCCTTATCTAATTTTGCATGTAAGTATGCGGTCTGTATGTCATATTGGAATACGTCCAGATTGAGTGCAGATGCTACTACAAGGGCTGTTTTGACACTCTCTGTTCTCACTGTGGGTGAATATGTATCAGTATAGTCTTCTGGATATTTTTGTGCATAGCCTTGTGCAACTAGTCTAGCCTTGTATAAGGTATTGCCTCCTTCTAAGTTCTTATTTTTATAAATCCACCACCTGGTACCTATAATTGTTTTATCCTTAGATGCGATCGCAGGTGTGAATACATTTAATCCTTGTAAACTTTCCATCTCTTTTTCCATAGCTAGTTCCCATTTTTCTCTTTCTTCATGTGGAAGTTTCAATACTTCTTCATATGTATTAGGTGTTATTTGTTCTCCATTCATATGCATTATGTAATCTTTGTATTTATTTGGTATTTGGTTTCTATTGTTTCTAATAGTTCTTTCAGGCTTGCTATGGTTATCATGCAAATATCTAGCTTCCTTTTTTGTTAATGTGTCTGTCTTTATTTAATGCTGACTATTAGTCCAAGTTTTGGTTTGTTTTACTTTTTTTAATATTTTGATTTTCTGTTGTTCCTTCCTCGCAAGATATCGTATCTTTACATTTATTAGGAAATATTTCATTAAGGTGCAATTTTGACCAATTGGCCTGTTCATGGAACACAGCTGTTCTGGATACTATAATTTGTTATTACTATCAATAAATCTGTACCCTTGGTTCCAGTTCGTATCCCATGAATCTTAATCTCCTGGATACGTTTTCTCCCCTTCTCCTCAATTGTTTAGGTATGTGTACGTCTGCAGTGACTCCAAATATGTGCATGTGTGATAATTTGGGTTTTCTATTGTACATCACCTCATATGGTGTCTTATTCACAATACTGGACCAGGTTCTATTTTGAGTGTAATTCGAATAATGTAATGCCTCTGACCAAAATTGTTTGCCTAAACCAGCATCCTCTAATGTGCACCTAATCATGGTTTGTAGTGTGGAATTTTTCCTCTCTGCAACTCCATTTTGAAATGCAGAAAAAGGATTGGACGTGAAATGTAACATTCCTCTATTCTTTAACCATTGGGAGAATTCTTTAGACATGAACTCACATCCCCTATCTGTCATAATTTGCTTTATTTCTGATATTATGTTGTGTTTCTATACGTTTGTAGAATTCCTTAAATTTCTGAAATGTTTCATCCTTGTGCTTTAATGTGTAAACAAAACCATATCGGCTGTAGTCATCCACTATTGTTAGGAAGTAACGTTTTCTATAGGTAATTGAGGGACTTAATGGACCAACTAAGTCCATATGTACCAAATCAAAAATATTGTTAGTTGATCTGTTAGATTTTTTTGGTCTGGGACTGGTTTTTAGTTTGGTGGACTTACATACTGAGCATTCCAAATAATTTTCACAATTTTTTATTTTGACACCTTCTGCGTGTTCAGTCATTTTTTGTACTACAGGAAAGCTTGCATGTCCTAACTTCCTGTGTAAGATGTGAGCACACTCATCATGAATTGGTTTACCTATTTTTGTTTCTTTTCCTTGTATGTATTTTGTGATCATGAGTTATTCTACACTCATCATTGTCACTGTTACTGACATTTTCATCATCTGCTTCAATACAATCTTCCATATTTGAATCAATGTTATGTAAACATCTTTCTTTAGTTATCAGATAGGGTAGACCTCCTTTTATCATTACAGTACCTACATTTGTTTTGTTCTTTTCTATAGTTGCTTTCCCCTTTGAGAAAACTATATTGATATCAGATTCTCTGCTTAATTTTATGGCACTTAGTATGTTGTGAGGTATTTCTGGGATTAATAATACCCCTCTATTTTCCCTAGACCAGGCAAGGTCACATTTCCTTTGCCTAGTACTTGAACCTTTTCTTGATTAGCTACCTTTATCACAAACTTATCTTCTATAAATGAAGATAATATACTTTTGTTGTTGGTGGTGTGATTTGTTGCACCAGAATCAATAAGCCAATTGTTATTCTCATCCTGCTGTGTTCTGGTGCTGTCTTGTTTTATTTAGCCCATTCAGTGACCCAGATTTCCTCTCTTTTGAATTTTCTCTACCCCCTCTATTCTATTCTATTCTATTCTATTCTATTCTATTCTATTCTATTCTATTCTATTCTATTCTATTCTATTCTATTCTATTCCATCCCATCCCATTCCATTCCATTCCATTCCATTCCACTCCATTCCACTCCATTCCATTCTTTATAACAATGGAGTAAGCAAAAAATCAATGTATTTAAGTAGTGCCACATTCAGTATGGGTTCACCAAATTTTGCAAATAGCTGGCTAGTAGCTTGTAACATTAGCTGTGATGCAGGGACTATCACTGTTTACTAGAAATTGGGTATAATTTGAACCTGGTCTATGAAGGCAGCCACTAATCAGGGGAGAAATCAACTTAGCTCTTACAGCTCTCTAAAATGGGCAATGGAGGATGCCATGTTCCTGAGTTTCTGCCTCTCCTGTGTTGCAGAGACAAAGGTGTTCAACCACTTTTTCCAGTATATTTTTTATATTTATATTTATCTTCCAAAACAACAGTGGTTAGTGCTTGGCATGTTGCCAACATAAAAGCTTTTGCCTCTGTTTAGATTATTATACAGGTGGCTCAAAATTGTACTTCACTGAATGCTTAGGTTTTCAAATATTATATCTATAATACCCACGTGTCTTTAAAAAGCCAGACACCTGAGAGTTATGAACAAAATGAGAATTCTTCATTTTTGTGAAAGGTCCTTACTATTTCTCATATAATGCTTTGATTTCTTCAGGTTGTTAAAGGAAGAACAGGCTCTTACAGCAAACTAAACTGTGTTGATTGTGGTACATAAAACTAAAGGAAAATGCAGTTAGAAAATAGGGAGGGAAATATCCACTTTTCTGTTAACCTGGAATCCATTTTGCATACTATAAAGGAGCTATAAAAGGGTATAAAAGCAATAAAGAATATAAGCAACTTTTCCTCTTATAGTTTATCTTAGGAATAAGATTTTTATTGCTATAAAGAAGGAAGGAAGATTGATTTTTGTTTTTCCCAGTACATAATTGCTTTTGCAGTATATAAAAAAAACCCACTTGGTATATTGATGTAATAATTATATACTGGATTACATCTCTCTTTCCTCCATAAATTTCCCATCACTAATTCTATAAACAAAATTATCAAAGTTATCAAAATGTAATTCATAGCAAAGAGCTTTTTTTAGCTTCCTCCATATGGAGTGTGTATACACACACACACACACACACGAATATATATGCTGTGCACACACACAATTATTTTACACTTTTGTAAAATAATTCTATTGTAGAATAGAAAACTAGATACCAGATAATACTTTTCAATGCTTTTAATTCAGTTATCAATCCCCCTATTTCAAACTTGGAATGGTATACTCCAGGAAACGAGTCCAGGAAATGTGGTGTCATCCAAAAACAAGTCACTTATTTGTGTAAACAAGATCTAGATTTCTGAATGGTCAGATAGGGGGAAAAATATGTGGTGCAATACAGTGGTGGGATTCAAATAATTTAACACCTGGTTCTCTACCCTAATGATTTCTTCCAACAACCAGTTTACCAAACTGCTCAGAAAGTTAACAACCAGTTCTCCCAAAGAGGTGCGAACTGGCTGAATCCCACCACTGGTGCAATAGGCAATAGAAAGCTTTTCTCTGAATGTATCGTTTGCCCCGATTTAATTATGTTTGGAAGGTGATATTCATCCAATGAAAGAATGCATATTTCAAATATGAAATCCTGGAGGCAAATAGCAAAACAAGCCAAAATCTTCCTATCTTGCCTAGAAATGCTAGAACCAATTAGGGGTATGTTGCTGAAAACAGAATGGTAGGATAGACTGATTTTATTTCTTTATTCATCCAGTAAAGAAATGGTGAGGGATAAATGAATTAAGACACAGAGCTGAAATCTGGAAGACTCAGAAGATGAAGAGGAGTTACAGCATAGTTATCAGCCTGAGGAGTTTCAGCTGGAAGAGTCACAGATCAGGAAAAGCACCATTTCCATCAACAGGAAAGGTAACTATTGCTGGTCTCAGATGACAAAGAGGCAGAGCTAGCACTCTCCCCCCTCACACATCCAATTAGTGACCCACAGCAAAGAGAGTAGAGCTGAACAAAGAGGCTGATCAGGAGATTATTAGCAAAAAAAGAACCTTGCCCCACCCAAGGAACAAATCCAGATCATTTGGCCCCTATATAAGGAGAACCACATGCCTCACAGATCCATTGGTGACAATTCTCCATTTACCTCACCACCATGTTTCACAAATCTTTAGCCTGCTTTCTCTAGATTTTCATGCCAAGTTAGTTTGACCCTCTAGTACCTTATTTATGATATGAACTTTCCTTGTCTCTAATTTAAACTGGCTGAATTTTGTAGGCTAAGTATTTTGTGGATGAGGGGCTACAATTGTTTGTTCAACCCTTTTTGCCACTAAGGTTCTATTAGAAAATCTTTTTAATTAAGACTAACCATGTGTCTGTGATTTCTATGAGCTGGGACAAGACAAACAGAACTATTTGGTGGTATGTTGCTGAAAACAAAATGCTGGTGTGGACTGATCTTGAATTTATACATTGAAGGAATGATGAGTGATAAATGAATTAAAACACACCTGAAATCTGGTAAGAAAAAAAAAAGCACTCCTTTCTTGTTCTCATGTTATATTCACTCTGGAACAAAGAAGAACCCTACCCAGACATTAATGTAAATTCTAAATAATTCTAAATTCTAACATTTAAACTCTGAACATAGAGGGGGGCATTCTGTGATCACTACCATGTGTTGATAGGGAAGATCTGAAATGAAAATCATATGAATACACTTGCAATCTAGAGGAACTGGGAACTTATTTACCACATGCTTAGAATACAAACATGTATGAAAATGAATATCATTACAGGAGAGATATGGTTGGAGAATGTGTCACCATCTCTCCTAAATATATACTGTATTTTTCGGTGTATAAGATGCACCTTTTTACCCCAAAAAAGGGGGTGAAAATCTGGGTGCATCTTATATGCCGAATGCAGCCCAGCCCACTTGCCGGCCCCCACCCTTCAGCCATTTTCGGCCAGTTCCAGGCGGCAGGGATCTGGGTCGGGGCACAGCCTGAAGAACAACCCTCCCTCTTCGGGACGGTGTGGGGGGGGGAATCTGCCCAGCAGCTTTGGGGAACAAGGCGGGTGCCACGATTTGCAGCTGGTCACCCCTCTGGACGCGCTGACTTCACTCCCCAGCAATATGAGGAGCCGCCGCCGAAGCTGCCTAACCCTCTCTGCGCCCAGGGTCTGCCACCCAAACCCGCGATCCCCTTCCTGATTCCAAACATGGGGTGTGTGCAGAGACCAAAAAAAAGTGTACCGTGTTTCAAGCAGTGGATCTGGCCAGGAGGAAAGAGAAGAGTCTGCTGAGAAGGAGGACGGGGGCGCGCGGCTCTGCAATGTGCAGAAAAATACTTTTAGGCAGCAGCGCTACAATCTCCTTCCTGAATCCAAAGCACTTCCCAGTTCCCCGCTGCACATTGCAGGGGAACTGACTGCCACCTGAAACACGACTCTTGAGGTTTGCATTTTGGAATCCGGGCAGCGATGGCCGGAAAGGAGGAACGTTTCCCTTTAGGGGCTCCCATTCAGCTCGGCTTGGCTCCTGGCCTCAGAGAGGGTTAGGCAGCGGCGGCTCCTCACATTGCTGGGGAGTGAAGTCAGCGCAGCCAGAGGGGTGACCAGCCGCAAATCGTGGCACCCGCCTTGTTCCCCAAAGCTACTGGGCAGATTTCCCCTCCCTCACCGTCCCGAAGAGGGAGGGTTGTTCCTCAGGCTGTGCTCTGTCCCTCCCCGCAGAGCATGCTAGGGGTCTCTTTGGGGGAAAGTGAGTAGTCCCTGCACCTCTTGCTTGCAGGAGGAAGAGGAGGGTGGCACCACCTTAAATGCTGGTAGGCAGAGGTAAAATACTTTTTTCCTTGTTTTCCTCCCCCAAAATTATACTCCGGTGCGTCTTATACACCGAAAAATACGGTAATAGTTGAAGAGGATATGCTTTGTTTGGCAATGTCATGTCACAATTCTGCTTTCCTTCATCCTATTTTAGTCTTGGTTGAATATGATCAGCATAGTGAGTTTTGGTACTCAATAAGGGGAAATAGAGAAGCAGTCTTTATGATTCTAACTTTCCTCCCATCTTGGTGCTTCCTACATGACATTCCAAAAGAGGGGCACCATCATTGCAAAGATTCACTTCTGTGTAACTGCACGATGAGAAAAAATCTCCCCTTTCTGCCTAATTTCAGGCTGTTCAGGATAGTCTGTTAACTGCGCATCTTAAAATGTGATTTAGTAGTTATTAAGTGGCTGCCCCATTCTGCATCAGCTGTATCTTCCTTAGCAAATAACTCCCAATTAAATGCACAAGAAAGAATAACTTTGAAGATGATACTACTTAAATGGGTAGTAATGTTTACTGTATATCCTCAGACTGTAGTGTAGGTTTCAACATCAGCTGGTTTGGATAGAATTGTTTGCAGAAATCCTGGCAAAAGCCAAGTCATTATAGTGATTAAATGATAATGAAAGATAAAGTGAGGAAGACTTATTTATTATTTAAATAATGCTTTCAGTTTAACAATGAGCAACAGTAACAGGTCACAGTCATGAAAGCATGAAAAGAATGAGGGGCAAAAGAATGAGGGGCAAAAACATAGTAAAGTAGTATTGTGATCATATTGAGGGAAGGAAAATCTAGGTGGAATAAAAAGCAGTCTTTCAAAAAGATGTTTATTTGATAGCACAAGATCCCAAGAGAAGTAGTTAAGAGCCTATACTTGTTACATTTGAATTGCCAGCATATTAGTAAGCATATTGTCTGGAAAAATCTTACATACTGATAATTGGCACTTTTACAAGGATGAAATAGAGATACATCATTTTCAGTTTACTCATAGACAAGCATAACTTATTATTTAATATAGGAATATGATTTGAAATTGGTCTATTTACTGAGTGTAAGGCATAGTTGAAATGTGTCATTTCCCCCTCTCCTGACTAAAATGATTAAAACCCTACATTCTTAGCATTTGTGAAGCTGAGTAAATATTTGTCCCCAGACCAGGAAAAAAAAAGCCACAGTCTATGGATCTTCTGATGATTCACTGTGAAAAGAGTTGTGGTATTTTAAATACTTTGCAAATTTCAAATCCTGGGCATGTGTTAACATTGTTCCCCATGCTCTTGTTACCGTGACAAAGAAGAAAAATCTGTGACTGGCATAAGTCTGTTCTTGTCATTAGACTACTCATCAAGCATCCCTTGACTGCCCTACAAAGGGAATATAATTTATGATTGACATCCTGCCAGGAGAAATCAACCTCATCATGTCAGTTTGAGAACCCAAGGCATCATGCAGGTCTCCTAGCAGGGGGTTTTGTCATGCTCAAGGCCTTGTGGTGTTTGAATAGACCATTGTGCCTGCAGTGTTAGACTTGGGCAGTTGTGTAATAACTAGTAGTTGAAAATTAGCAAAAGGTGTTAGCACTGAACATCAAATTGCCACTGAGCAACTATTTCAGTGGGCCTGTATTACTAACTGCAAGATAGATATGTAGATTATGACAAGTAATAACTTGTAACTAATAGAATAAATTTTCTCTACTCATTCGGCATTAATAAGATGGACACATGCACGATTCCTGTAGCATATGTCCAAATACATGGAAATCCTGAGCTAATTAGAATTCCTGTTCACAAGGAGAAAGTCCAAGAAGTTACATCATCATGCATATAGAACAGAGCTGTCAAACTCCCGACCCACAGGCCGGATGCGTCACACGCTGACCATGCCCACGCCCAGTTTAGTGAAGGGGGGGAAGTCCTGATACGTCACATGATGCTGCCGTGATGATGTGAGTTTGACACCCATGATATAGAATGTCTGTACACCTTAGCCCCAAAGTTTTGCCTGACAAAAGACATGATTAATATCTGCCTCAAAACGCAAGAATGTGGTTAGCAGATAACATTTTCACTTTTATACAATCATGTGTCAAAACTGTATAGGCATAATGTGAAAACTATCACCTATACAAGTCTTTGAGCATATCTAGAATTTTGCACTTACATTGTGCAAATTAAATTACAGGTAAGCCTTCACTTGTGATCATAATGGAACCTGCCCATTACAGTCATTAGTCAAGATAGTTGTAAAGCAGGTCACCAATATGACTCAATCAAAATTTACAAAAAAATTTGTGGTGGTCATTAAGCGAATGCAATAGTTATTAAGTAAACCCATTGTTATCTATGGGACGTTTTTGCTGAAAACTGGAAGTAAATGCCAAGTCTGGGCAAAAACATTGTAAATCATGGTGATGTGCTCATGGACACCACAAAGAGCCATAAATACGAGATGATTGCACAGCATCTAAAATACAGTCACATTCCTGGGAAAGGGGGAACCTGATTGTCAGAATTTTAGAACCATGTAATAATTTCTTTTTGAGAGGTCTGTTGTAACTTTGAATGTCACTATGCAACCAGTCAAGGATTACCTGCATTTCTTTGTACATGTCATGACACTGTTAAGGACACAAAATCAATCCAGGCTGTTTTTTCTGGTTACTTGACCAATTCTAATTAATATACACCTCAAGGGTGAAATAGGAAATCTGGAGAACAATCCTTTTGTCCTTTAAAGTAGATTTAATCTCATCTCCATGCTGAGTTCAACCATTTTTAGGGACTCTAATAAGCACATGCAAGTTATACATGTCAGCTTTCCAAGATAATAATATCAGAGCAAAATGTTGCCAGTGCCACTGAGTTTCAGATCAAACTGGTCTGATGAAAGTGACTTTAGTTGGTAAGATATGGCGTGCATGTTGCTATAGATGTAGTGTGTTATATTAAAGCACACACATATACACCAAAGTTGTGTCACAGGGATCCTGATTCAGTTCTGAGGAGTCAATAGACATTTAGCATGAAAATCCAAATTCTTTTAGATTCTTTTTTAAACAAACAGG